TTAACATGAGTAAAATACTTAACGGCAACGTCTGGTGCAGGGGACGTAAGTACTACATAGGAGTCCATTGTCATTATGTCTACGGTACCAGAGGTGAGGGGTCCAGGAGGGCGCTATTTTAGCATGAAAAACACAAGTGAGCCCCCTGGCTTGGTACTTCTGGATGCTTGGGCCCCCAAATCCAACCTGGTGATCTGAACCAATGAATAAGCCCTTCTATTAGCAATGTAAGGAAGCACCATGAGTTCTCTTTTGTCCAGATCCCTTCAATTCCTGAACATCCAAGCGATGGGAAAGACCATGATCTGGATCAGCAAACCTTAATCAACTAAGAGATGCCATGACAAGACCCTCCATGATTACCACATTGCAGAAAATTGTGATGCTACTGTATCTACCCATAATAACACTTATAAAGCAGTTTTGCCAAGTCAGAAAGCACTTCCTGATCCAATCATTATTATGAGCATTTGTTATCCCTAAACTACAGGGCTACAGACCTAGAAGAATATCAAGTTGACCTTGCATCAGCTATATCCTAGAAATAGTCTCTCTTTTTTTTTTTAAACTAAATATCCTCGATACGCGTATTCTTACTTACAACTTGGCTTTGGGTTGTTTGTTTTTTTTTTTTTTTTTTTTTTTTCCAGTTCATTGTGTCCTCTTTTTCTGCTTCTTACCCAGCCCCTCAGAGGGTTCTTCTCAGCTCACCACACAGGTTGACTACCCTCTGAACGTAGAACCCCAAAGTCAAATATCCAGACCTGGCAAGCACTGAACTAGGAGTTCCCAACATTTTCGCCTCCTTTTATTTTCTTTCCCCAAAAGAAATGTTTTAGGAGACTTTATCTACTGAAATGCAATCACTGGCTCTCCATGCACTTGTTGAAGGATCTCTGAGTTGTTTCCAATGTTTAGCTATTACAAATAAAGCTGTTATGAACATTTGTGAACAGCTTTTTGTGTGAACATAAGTTTTCATTTCTCTGGGATAAATGTTCAAGAGTGCAACTGCGTGGGTATATGGTAGATGCATGTTTCATTTTATAAGAAATTTCCAAACTGTCTTCCGGGGTGGCTGTACCATTTTACATTCCCACACACAACATATGAGTGATCCATTTGCTCCACACCCTCACCAGCATTTGGTGGCATCGTCATTTTTCATTATAGCCAATTCTGATAGGCATATACCTCATTGTGGTTTGAATTTGCATATCTCCAGTGACTAGTGATGTTGAACATGTTGTCATGTGCTTATGTGCCATCTGTATATCCTCTTCAGTGAAATGTCTGTCCATGTCTTCTGCCCATTTTCTAATTGCACTGTTTGGTTTTTACTATTGGGTCTCGACAATTCTTTATCTATTCTAGATGCTGATAGTCTTCTGTCAAATATTTGGTTGCAAATATTTTCTCTCAGTCTGTAGCTTATCTTTTCAACTTCTTCACATAGTCTTTCACAAAGCAAGCGTGTTTCATTTAGTGAGGTCCAATTTGTCAAGTTTTCTTTCCATGATTCATGCCTTATGTGTCAAGCTTGACAACCCTGCAGCAGGAGTCGGGACACTAGGACTAAGGTGACGCCAGCTCGCCCGGGTTTATCCAGGACTTTCTTGGGTTTAGCACCAAAAGTCCCACATCCTAGGAAACCCCTCAGTCTTGGACAAACTGGGAGAGTTGGTCACTCAAACAAGAGCCGATGGAGTCCTGCCCCTCTTTTGCACCGACACAGCCTCAGCTGAGAGTGGAGGGACCAGTGCCAGAGAGACACCCATCCTGGGCCTGAGAATCAAGACATCATCACTGACGCATGAGTAGCTGTGATGCCACAAGGTTCTGAAGGGCACACATGGTAACCTTGCCATTTCCTCTCTCACGACGATGGGCAAGATTTTTCAGAAAAGGCAGGCTGGCAGGGAAAGAGAGGTCCCCTTACCTTACACGGCCATCCCACTGTCCTCCCCTCGCTTTGGAGCCTGTACTTGAGGTGGCTCCCACCCACATCCTTCTGGTTCATCCAGTTCAACACTTTGGGCCAAGGATGCCCAGTCCTGGGCACACTAGATTTCCCCCGAAAAGCACTTCAAAAATGCGGATGACTGAGCCCCGTCCCAGACCAGTTAAATGTGCTTCTCTCCAAGTGGGAGTGGGGCTCAGTCAATATTAGCCACAAAAACTCCCGAAGTGATTCCAGTGTGCAGCTGGGGTGAGACCCTTTGCTGCAGGCTCCAGGGGTGTGAACTGCTTGTGGACATGGATGAGAGCACCCACAGCACCCAGCAAAATGCCTGCATATAGCAGGCATCCAATATACATTCCGTAAGTTTTTTAAATGAGGAAATAATATAGAAGTGATCAAAGACTGGGTCCAAATATCATTTACTTTGTCTCTCCTGCTTGTAACTGAAGGACCAAATGAGTTGCAAGGTAAACTGTAGGATAAGCCTCCCTAAAACTAGACTGTCTCCAAGCCTTTCCCAATCTCCCAAAAAGTTGAAAAGTCAAGAAATCCCTGACTGCCCCAATGGGCATTTTTACAGATGGATAATTAGGCTGTGTCAGTGTCACCAGGAAGTTGTTAGAAATGCAGATTTTCAGGCCCCATCCCAGAGTAACAGAAACACAGTGTGCTTTTTAACAAGACCCCAGGTCATTCGCCGCAGCTCCTTAAAGTCTGAGAAGCACCCACCAGGCTGAGAAGTCCCTGTGGGAGAGAACCAGCTGGCTGCACTCGGCCCCTGGGAGAGCATATGAAGGGAAGAGACCCTCAGAAGAGGTTGAGGGAAGGGGTGGAGCCACACCCGGAGGCCAAATCTCAGAGCTTTTTGACTTTTACAAAACCCCCAAAGCATCTAAGGACTTGAATCCTTAACTCACCAAGTCTAAACCTTGAGCAGGTAAACTGACACAGCAGAGAACTACCTGTAGATACTGAACAGTGTACTTGTTTATGGATCGGAGTGAATTTAGGGCTGTGATCAGTTACTAAGTACCATCCTGAGATGGATCAAAGAATGTGGTCCTGTCCATGAATTACCCTGCTGAGAGGCAAGCTCTTTAAGGTTTGCTCAGGGAGGCAGGGTGGGTGGGCCTCCTCGCTCCCTCCCCCACGTGGCCAGAGTTTTATAATTCCCACGTGACGTCCACTGTGCTGGGCAATCCCCCCACACACACACACACTCACCAAGATCCCTTAGAAACCCTCTCTAATAATTCCCCAACTAGAAGTTGGTCAGCCTACGGGCATCCTACCAGCGTTTTACAGTGGGAAGCCATTATTTTCATCATTTGCTTCATCCTGAAAGCAGCCCGCTGTGGGGTTTGCAGATGGAAAGAGGTGCCTGTCTTTTCTTTTGTATAGTAGGACGACTCACACCTGTGAGGACATAATTTATTTTTTTGCAAATTCTAGATAACTTTATGCAATTTCCCCCAGATTCTAGTATCACCTCTGTGTCCTTCCCTGCGGAGAGGATAGCTGAAGCTCACAGAGAACAGCCCACAAATCAGGGTGAACATCAAGGGAAAAGCTAAAGCCTCAATTCCAGGCGAAGCACCTCTCTGCCTACAGTGTCACCTGACCGTAGCTTCACACACACAAGAAGCACAGAATGGGTGCTCTCGGCCAGAGATTGTGTTGAAGTAATTATGCTCTGCCCTCGATGAAATTGCTTAAACTGCTTTCTGCTTTACAACATCATACACAGAAAACAATTTTCATGCCCGCACCGTGGCCTGAGGCAGATTTTGCATTCTGCATCAGGAGGAAATTGATTAATGTGAATGTTTTAGCTGTGGTTGTTGTTTGTGTATAAACTTTTGTTAAAACAAGTACGGCAGAATAAATGACCTTTATGTAGACACCTATTAAGGCGCTAAAAGGCTTGGCTACATTCATCTGAGACGCGTACACATAACGAGTGGAACAATGAGGGGATCAGCAGCTGCAAGGGGTTGAATTGAATTCTTCAACAATAGAAAAGGTTTTCAGACCCAAATACCAGCAATCAAAGAGAATTTTTGCAGATAATCCGAGAGAAAGAAAATAATAAAATAAAAAAAAAAAAAATGCTAGCCAACTTTGCACCAGTTAGCATAAGGTTGCCATCTGAAACATGTCAGCTTAAGAGCAGACCGAACCACCATTCTTTTGCCCAACTGCAGTATTCAGAACTGTTTCCCCAAATAATCCCAGATGGCATGCCACAAAATTTCAATTCATTTTAAAAGCTTTCTTTGCTGTTATTATGTGATTGAAAGTGCAAAAGCAAGTTGCCATTCTCATGGCACTATTTGCATTGGCTATTATCCCCTAAAATCCCCTTTAAACAGCTACATTGTCAGCCCATAGGCCTCATTTAGAACTACAAAAAAGCCCAGATTAATTCGATCAAAGAAAGAGCCAAGTACAAAATGCACTTTTCAAACTGTATCAGAGTGGGTTCGCTTTACAGATCGCTTCGGGGCAAGAACCGCAGGGGAAAGAAAGCCCTGAAAATAAAGCTTGGTTACGAAGCGAAATAACTAGGTTTGGCTCCTTCTCTGATTTACTGGAGCACCTCAAGGCGAAATCGCCAATTAAAAATTCTTAGAGGGAAAGATATTTAAATATAAATGCTGAAACAGACCCCCACAAACCGCAGCATCACATTCGTACCCCCTGGCTTTCGGCCACCATTCTTCGGAGGCAGTTCGAAGCCTTGCCTGGGTAACCCGGTTAGTAGGAGGATTTTCTGAAGTCGCAGACACCACATTCAGCCAAAGGACTTTGCACTGGCAAACATTTATGTCCGACTCTTCTCACCCCATCCCCAGAGGAAATGTTTTAAGTTACCACAAGAAAAGAAAATGCTGGAAAACAAAGGGGGGGGGAGGGAACCGGTGATGACAACATTTCTTTTCACAAAACAAAACCTGCTCAAGATTCCGGTCGAATTCCGGGATCGGAAGCTGGCTGCAAGCGCCCTTCCACAGGCAGGCTGACGGGGCTGTCTCACCTGGGGGTCTGGAGGTGGGGGAGAAAGCTGGGGTGAGCCAAGCTGGAGTTTGGGTCTCTTAGGGACGCTCCATTAGTTTCCTAGGCGGGGTGAGCGGCGTCCGTTTTCCACTGCAGATGGTGCAGCCGGCCAGCTCCCTCCCTCTCGGCCCGAAGCTGTTCCTTCCCTTCAGCGGCGGCTTTTGTGCGCTGAGAACATTTTACTGGGGAGGGAAGGGCTGCACAGAGGTAGGGCTACAGGACGCGGGAAGCGAGACGTGCCGGTGCCTCTTCTGGGACGGAGCAGAGCCGGGAGAGCGCTGCAAACACAGGCAGCTGCAATAAATATCAAAGTCGTTTGCAGGAGGGAGGAACCAGGGAGGATTTCAGCCGGTTGTGTCGGTTCAAGCTTTTGCTCCGGGAGGGACGACCTCAAAAGTCCTGAGTTGTCTGCTGTTTCCCCAAACCCACCCTGGAAACAAAAGAACATCGTGCTGCTGTAATCACATCTCATAAAATGTTTAGAAAGGGCACGCTCACCAAGAGGCTCCAACCATAAAACAGCAGTCCTGAACTTCCTGGTCGCATGCTCAGCTAGAAATGCACAGGGCTATTAAGTTACTCAGTTTGCTCAGAGGTGTTCACCACCCCCAACAACCAAATCCTCATCCTCCTGAAAATTATCTGGAGGAAACAAATATGGATAGAAAACTGCAAATTTGGATGTTATTCCTCCTCCCATCCCTGAAATCAGGCAAACAGAGAAAGAAGTAAATGGTGAGTACATATACAGGAAAGAGAATATAGAATCGAGTTGTTTTCTGTGAAGGAAAACCTTCTATTTTCCTCCCAAATCTTCAAAACAAATTATTCAAACTCATTCCCTGGTGGTCCTAACTTTTAACTACAGCAATACAGTACCAAAAAAAAAAAAAACAAACAAACAAACAAACAAAAAAAAAACAGTTCTGGATTTTTGAGATCTGGTTAAACTTTCTGAAACTCTGCAACCTAAACTTAACAGAGGAAAGACCACTATATCTGATTCGTGATGAGACAAATTGAATGAATCACTGTGAAAAAACACACCCACAGTAATTTCTTTCTAGTAAATTTCAGTAGCCTGTTAACTAGTTGGAATAGGAATGTTTCTGTGACTTTTTGTAGGTCTCGCTGCCTGAGCCCTAAATGAATACACAATTACTTCCCTTGGTGGTAAAGATGTGTTTGATAATGAGTCAAGAATTGTCCAAGCAAAATAAGAAAGGAAGATCAGCACCTCTCAGATTACCACCACTGCCAGTGTTCAGAGACCCAAGGTGATCCCATCAGGACTCACAAGGACATTGTTTAAGGTAAATCCCTTGAGGCCATTTTTTTTAGGAGGCAAGGAGAATAAAGGAACAGGTGTCAGGGAATATTGTAAAAGCTTCCACTCTCTGTTAGGAGATCTAATTCTGGTCCTGGCTCTGCCTCTGACTAACGAAATGACCTTAGCTTAGTTGCTTTCCCTCTCTAGATCTTACTTTTCTCATCCATAAAATAAGGCTAAACTAGATGATTTCCAAGGGCCATCCCAGAAATAATATCAAAGAGTGTTGAGAGCATTCCTATGGAAAACGCAGACAACACTAATTACAATGGGTCTAAAATGAGTTTCTCATGTTATGTGCTATCTAGGTAACAGAATAGCGTCACTGGCATAGGTTGGGGCTTGAAAGATTTCGTCTTAGCCTCCTAAAGGTTCTGGTCATCCCTAGGCTGTGCATAAGAATTAACTTCAGGGAGGTCCATTTGAAATTAGTCACAGAGTTTCTGGCAGTTGCCTGCACAACTGATCCCCAGTCTGAATTGTCCATAGGGAAGCCTATTTGACCTATCTGGCCATGGGGCCCAAGCTGTTAGTCCTCTAGAAACAGTTTCTAGATTTTCTTCAGTCAAATGAAAAACAGGATGCCACTTAAAAAAATTACTGAGGCGCCTGGGCAGATCAGTCGGTTAAGCCTCTGAGTCTCAATCTCAGCTCAGGTCTTGATCTCAGGGTTGTGAGTTCAAGCCTGGCACTGGGCTCTGTGCTGGGCATGAACCCTACTTTAAAAAAAGGGGGGTGGATGCCTGGGTAGCTCTTGATTTCCGCCTAAGTTGTGGTCTCGCAGTTGTGGGATTGAGTCTGCATTGGCCTTCACGCTGAGCATGGTGCCTGCTTGGGATTCTCTCTCTCTCTCTCTCTCTCTCTCTCTCTCTCTCTGCCCCTCCCCCACCCATGTTGTCTCTGTCTCTCTCAAATTAAATAAATAAACTTAAAACATTAAAAAATTTTTTTAATGTTTACTTATTATTGAGAGACAGAGAAAGAGCATGAGCAGAGGAGGGGGAGACACAGAATCTGCAGCAGGCTCCGGGCTCCGAGCTGTCAGCACAGAGCCTGAGGCGGGGCTTGAACTCACAAACCACGAGATCATGACCTAAGCCAAAGTCGGACGCTTAACCAACTGAGCCACCCAGGGGCCCCAAAACATTAAAAAAAAAAAAAAAAGAGTGAGGGGCGCCTGGGTGGCTCAGTCGGTTGAGCAGCCGACTTCGGCTCAGGCCATGATCTCACGGCTTGTGGGTTCGAGCCCCGTGTCGGGCTCTGTGCTGACAGCTCGGAGCCTGGAGCCCGCTTCAGATTCTGTGTCTCCCTCTCTCTCTGCACCTCTCCCACTCACACTCTATCTCTCTCTCAAAAAAAATAAACACTAAAAAAAGAATTTTTTAAATAAAATAAAACAAAAAAAAAGAGTGAAAAAGAATAAGCTCTCCATTCCTCACACTCTAATGGAGGTCAGCAAGAGAGAGCAAATAAACAAAAATTATATCAGCATAGGGTGTGGGACAGGAACCGGGTAGGCCACACTGCGTTGATGGACTCTTCAGAAGAACTAGCCATGCACGGCTCAGGGAGAAAAGCCCTCTGGGCAGAGGGAAGAGCTGCGGGCAGAAAGAAAGCCAGTGTGGCTGGAATGCAGTGGTGGAGGAAGTGAGTGGTATGAGATAGTCAGGGAGAGAGGCAGGAGCCAGACCACGTACAAGATTGGATTTTATGCTAATTATAGGAGGGAGCATAATCAGAGAGTTTTAAGCAGGGTACTGACATGATCTGTGTTCCATTTTTAGAAAGTATTCCTGCTCTGTGAAGAACGGATGGAGCAAGTGTAGAAGGGAGGTTGTTTCAATAATACAAGTAAAGGTAAAAACGGCTTCAACTGGGAGGTAGTGGTGAAGTGAGCATATTCAAGATATGCCTTGGAAGACTTGTTACCAGAGCAAATGGAGATGAGTCACGGGAGGGGTCGCTGAGGGAAAGAGAGGAACAAGTGTATTGAGCAACTGCTTGGAGGAGAAGCAAGTCTAGTGGGGTGGCAGGAATTACGAGTTCTGGTATGGCAACTTTAAGTTTGAAATGCCGTATTAAATGTGTGTGTGGCCAAGATCAACTAGGCAGTTGGACACATGAGTTAGGAGGTGCAGGGAAAGGTCAGGGCTGCCATGAGATCTGCAAGTCCCTGGGATAGGGTAAATGACCATCAATAGTCAATTATTCTGATTAAGACCCTTCATCTCACAGATAAATGTAGCAGAAGCTCTCCAACCCAATTCATCTAGGATTTGTAGTTGGTTAATAAATCAAACACTCCTTTTGTGTTTTGCTTCGGCACTCTTGGTCAACCCGAATCCAGGGATTTTGGTCACTTGTTCCGGGCCCAGCTGCCGCAATCTGACAGTACCTACCTTTGTGCCCACGCCCCACTTCTCTCACTTCCCCCTTCCGGTTTTCCTGGAGGAAAGACCTGCCCACATGTATATACATTGTCCGCATATGTGCAATTGGGAAGTGCGAGGAAATTAATGCCCAACGGGGCAAGTTTTTGACTGAGGCAAAATGGCAGCTGACAGATCAATTCTTCCTTCCATCAGACTCTATATGAACTGACCTGAAAACAAAACACAGCAAAGCAAGGCCTGTCAGAAAATGACCTCACAAGGTTGAGAAATCATTATTTTTTTTTGAAAAAAAGATGTTAAGTAATCTTTGGGGCACCTGGGTGGCTCAGTCCGTTAAGCATCCGACTTCGGCTCAGGTCGTGATCTCATGGTTCATGAGTTGAAGCCCCGCGTCAGGCTCTGTGCTGATAGCTCAGAGCCTGGAGCCTGCTCCAGACTCTGTGTCTCCCTCTCTCTCCAACCCTCCCCTGCTTGCACTCTGTCTCTCTCTCTCTCTCGAAAATAAATAAACATTAAAAAAATGTTTTAAGTAATCTCTACACCCAACGTGGGGTTCATACAACCCCGAGATCAAGAGTCACACGCAATTACTTCTCACCAAGGCTGATGTAGCTCGTACCACTGCTGAATGCTCAATCTGCCAACAGCAGAGACTGGCACTGAAATATTTATTAACGTACCACTATTCCTCATGGAATTACATTTACATCACCTTCTATGTTAGATGGGGAACAGTAGTCTTCTTTCCAGATTTTGACATCTGCTTGAGTTAAGATTTGCCTTTTCTCTCCACAATGCCTCCAACAGCACCACCATCCAGGGTTTACAAATGCCTATTCTATTGACATTATATCACATATAACATTGCCTTGGTCCAAGGGACCCACGTGATAAAAAGAGAAAGTATAACAAGGGACACATGACTATGGACTCCACTATCTCACCATATGCCTCATCACTCTGACACATTCAGGCTAATAGTGTAAAGCCATGGGGCAGAGGGCAGCGGCAGGGGTGGGAAGAAGGTTGCTGAGAACCCATCCCAGGGAATCAGGGAAAGAGGAGAGACAGGACATCTTGTGAGCAGGAATCCCAAGTCCCCAAGCACAGGCTTCATTGTCTCTCAAATTCTCTTACAAAACACACATTCAGAGATAAAATTATTCAGAATTTCAATGAGGCACCTGGGTGGCTCAGTCAGCTGAGCTTCAGACTTCAGCTCAGGTTATGATCTCATGGTATGAGGGTTCGGGCCCCACTTAGGGCTCTGTGCTGACAGCTCAGAGCCTGGAGCCTGCTTCGGATTCTGTGTCTCCTTCTCTCTCTGCCCCTTCCCCACTCACGCTCGCTCTCACTCTCTCTCTCAAAAAATAATAAACATTAAAAAAAAAAAAAGAATTTCAAGACAGTAATACAGAACATTAAACCCCAGGAGTCAGCCCCCTCCTGAGCTTGGGGCCCTGTATATTGGTCACATGCCCAAGAAGCCAGCCCTAGTGCCCATACATGTTTAAATGGGAGTGTAAGAAAGTTAATACTCCATGGAGCAAACTTTTAACCAATGGGAGGCGGGAAGTAGCAAGTAAATTCTTCTCCCTCTTTTCACTAGACATACTGTCCTAAAAAGCAGCCATTTATATAGTGTCTCAGAAAATAGTCCCATAAGATCAAGAAATCGGTCACACTTGATTGTAAGCGTGGGCCAGTTCAGCTTGGCGTTTTCATATTGGCTCTCCCTCTTTCCTTGCCTCACTCCCCTTTTCTTCATCCTGCTTGGATTGCATTCCTGATTAAAGTAATAGCACATAAGCCATTTCCACAAGCTCTGCATTCCGGGTAATTCAGGCTAAGACAATCAGTTCACTCAAAAAGCAAGCAGGGAACATACTTTAAATATTTATTTTAATTTAAACATTCAGTTTTAATTTAAAACATTATTTCTATTTAAAATGTTTGAGCACGCATTCGTTTGCAATTTCTCCAAAGGTTTTTGTCTCTTTAAAGACTGGAACCAGAGACTGAAGTTCTATTTTGTTTTTATTGACTAAATCACAACCAACGCACATCATTTACAACTCATAACCTCCACCATCCCTAGTTTATTTAAAGTAAAACAATAATTTAAAGACCTTGTTAAAGCAGCTTAAATGCATAATTCCTCTAAATTTTTACAGACTTTTTTTTCTGGTCTCAACAGTTGCCCCACCAAACCAAACATTATTTCAGTGAGCACCTATATTAAGTCCCTCCAAAAACATTCAGCTTGGCTTCGTAGTAACAATCGTTTTTTTCAACTACTTTTTCATAGGTTGATGTGATATTTAATTAAATTGTAATCACAAGTACATTCCGTATAAACAAATTGACATCGTTACAATTGAAAAGACGATCAAAAATACAATACATACACAGGATTCAGGATGTACGTAAGTGATTCCTGGCAACATTCAGCTCTCCCTACAAGGACAGAAGACTGTAGTGTTCTCAGATCAGCATCAGAGTGTGTCCTCAGACCAATAGCATCAGTGTCGCCTGGGAACCAATTAGAAATGCAAAATTCTCCCAGGTGCCTGGGTGGCTCATTTGGTTAAGCATCCCACTTCGGCTCAGGTCACAATCTCGAGGTTCGTGGTTTAAGCCCCGCTTTGGGCTCAGTGCTAACAGCTCAGAGCCTGGAGCCTACTTTGGATTGTGCGCCTCCCTCTTTCTGCTCCTCCCCTGCTCTCCCTCTGTCTCTCAAAAATAAATAAATGTTAAAAAAAAAAACTTAAGAAATGCAAAAGTCTCAGGCCATCCCAAACCAACTGAATCAGAAACTCTGGGAGTAGAGCTCGGTAATCAGTTCTGAGTACAGGCAAGTTTGAGAAGCACTGTCCTCGGGGCGCCTGGGTGGCTCAGTCGGTCGACTTCGGTTCAGGTCATGATCTCACAGCTAGTGAGTTTGAGCTCTGTGCTGACAGCTCAAAGCTTGGAGCCTGCTTCGGATCCTGTGTCCACCTCTCTCTCTGTTCCTCCCCCACTCACGCTCGCTCTCTCTCTTTCAAAAATAAAAAAACATTGAGATGCACTGTCCTAGAGCATATAGTAGCCAGGAGCCTTCACATGATGGACAAGTAGAGAGAGCCCTTCATTTAACAAGGTAGTTAATTGGAGGTCAGTTAAAGAACTTCTATTTTGTTTTAGTTAGGGTTAGGTTTGGCTTCATATAAACAAAAGCCAAAGCAACAGTGGTTTGTGTGCAGATAGTGAACACTACTGAAATATTCATTTAAAAATGGTTAAGATGAGAAATGTATTTCACTTTTTGACCACAATTTAAAAAAAAAATTTTTTTTTAACGTTTTATTTATTTTTGAGACAGAGACAGACAGAGCATGAACGGGGGAGGGACAGAGAGAGAGGGAGACACAGAATCGGAAGCAGGCTCCAGGCTCTGAGCCGTCAGCCCAGAGCCTGACTCGGGGCTCGAACTCATGGACCGCGAGATCGTGACCTGAGCTGAAGTCGGCCGCTTAACCGACTGAGCCACCCAGGCGCCCCTTGACCACAATTTTAAAATGACCAAATGCATCAATTAAAATTTTAAAAACAGTAGCTTACGCAAATTAGGAATTTATTTTTCTTCCATCTAGAAGAAATCTAGAGGTAGACACTACAGGGGTACCTGGGTAGCTCAGTCAGTTGAGCATCCAACTCTTGATTTCAGCTCAGATCATGATCCCAGGACGGTGGGATAGAGTCCCGTGCTGGGCTCCACAATGAGCATGGAGCCTGCTTAAGATTACCTCTCTCCCCCTCTATCCCTCTCTCATGGTCTCTCTCTAAAAAAAAAAAAAAAAAAAAAAAAAAAAAAAAGTAGACAATCCATTACATACATGACACTCCAGTAAGTAACAAAAGACCCAGGGTGCTTTCCAGCTCACTCTCCACCATCCCTAGTGTGGGGCCCTCCTCCTCATGGCCTAAGAGGGCTGCTAGAGCTTTAGCCACTGAATATCTTTTCCAGGCAGCAGAATAGAGCAAAGGAAAAGACAGAGGGTACTTCTTCCCTTTAAAAAGAGCCTTCGGGGTGGCTGGGTGGCTCAGTGGCTCAGTCGGTTAAGTGTCCGGCTTTGGCTCTGGTCATGATCTCATGGTACATGGGTTCAAGCCCTGCATTGGGCTCTGTGCTGACAGCTCAGAGCCTGAAGCCTGCTTCAGATTCTGTGTCTCCATCTCTCTGCCCCTCTTCCACTCGACTCTATCTCTTTCTCAAAAACAAAAACAAAGGGGCGCCTGGGTGGCGCAGTCGGTTAAGTGTCCGACTTCAGCCAGGTCACGATCTCGCGGTCCGGGAGTTCGAGCCCCGCGTCAGGCTCTGGGCTGATGGCTCAGAGCCTGGAGCCTGTTTCCGATTCTGTGTCTCCCTCTCTCTCTGCCCCCTCCCCCATTCATGCTCTGTCTCTCTCTGTCCCAAAAATAAATAAACGTTGAAAAAAAAATTTTTTTTAAACAAAAACAAAAACAAAATAAAAAAAAGAGTTTTCACAGCAATCCCAAACAGTACTTTATTTCAACATTTCCTTACGTAGTAGTCACATGGTCTTGCATAGCTGCAACGGACCTTAGCAAATGTCTTTGAGCTTGAGGCACAACATGCCCACTTCGATACTGAGGTGCTATTGCTAAGGGAGAAGAAGAGAATAAATATTGGAAGCCAATCAGCAGACTCTACCACACATTGTAACTGTAAAATCATGCCAGCCATTACCCAGACCTCAAATGAAGAAATCTCTCATATAAACATTTCTAGACATTGCTGTAGTAAAAATACACATGAATTCAGCTCTCTTTTGAGAAGTAAGAATTCCCATTTTTCATGAGATTTTAAAAGGGAAGAGGGGGGAAGAAAAACGCCTTCATCAAGGCGTATTACAATCCAACCGCTGTGCCTTTGTATCTGTGCTCTCATTGATTGTCCACCAGCCGGTGTGGCAGGAAGTCTTACTTTCTGTAACAAGATGGGCTAAATTTGATGCAGTTAAAAAGAAAACTCGCTGGCCACTTGTTGGCCGGGAGATAGGGAAGTGAAGGAATCATACAAGAGTTTCTATAGGTTTTGACCTATTGAAGGGACATGACCACACCCAGCTTCTAGCAGGTGACCAGTTTCCCCGGAGATCTGGAAACATCAGTTACTAATGGCCCAAGTAAGAAAGAAGCTCCTTGACAGCAGGTGTCTCCCTGCGTGGTAATTAGCAGCTGGCCCACATCCTCACACAGCCAAGGAGCCTGATAAATATTTAAATTGAATTGTTTGTGATTGTAAGTTTAAAAATCCCCCCCGCAAATCTCTCATGTGAGCTTCAATCATCTTTCTAGAACTACTGTTGTCTCAAAAGAATTAGCTGCTGCAGGCATTTATTCTTAGAATTCATCCAGGTAGTAAAAAGTAAGAAATTGCTGAAAATTAGGTTCTGCCCCACTCTGTCCACACTGCCTGCCGCCCCTGGGGCAGGGGGTCGGGGTGGGGAGTGGGGGGCTCCCCAGGACAGCATGGGTACCAGCCTTCTAGTGGAGGAAGCATTTACTTTGATTTTCAGGCTGCAGTACAATTGGATGTGTCAAAATTCTGCCTGCCCTTTTACGAGGCAGTAATAACAGATGTTGCTATGGGAATTACATTTTTCCAATGATTAGATTATATAGCGAGCTAATCACTTTTGCTTTTATGAAGAATAAAATGCACCACCACACAGCTGGAGTTGTTATTAGCAATTGTCAACTAAATAATTTAAGCGGTGCTGTTTATGTAAGTCCCTAATTACTGCTGGGATTTGTACAGTGAGATAGAATTAATGATCTTTTCTGTCATATCTCCTCTGTAATGTGATGACTTTTGTGAGCTTCCTCCTTCTAATTGCATAAAACAAGGAAAGCACCCTGTTAAGGAAAAATAGGTACCTAAATAATGATGAGTCAAAACCCACCTAATTAAGACATGTGTGCCATAGCTGAGCCCAGAGCAGCTCAGGGGCACATTTCTAATCATTGCGGATGTCTCAAAAACAAACTATGCATTCATATACCAAGGGAACAGCCAGCATTATCCATTCAAACATCTTCACCTACAAATTTCTCGGCCTCTAGAGTCAGGATTTTATCATCTTTATCAATGGGATGCTGGACTTGGATAACTTTATACCACCTGTGGAAATAAACCTTATTATGTGGGTTCTCATCCCATCTCACAACTCCCCAGGCCATTTCTGGGTTCACACACCCTTTAAAGGTTTTTTTTAATGGCCCTTGGACCATTACAGAATTTTGATATTTCTTATGATTTCATAGAGGTATTAGCTGGCCTGGACTCTGACCCAAGGCAGTTAATGCAAGCGGTGACAGGGTACAGAGAGAAGTGTGACGGTCTAAAGGCTCAGGACCATGGTTCACACAGGAGGTCTAGGTTTATCAGCCTTCTGGGTGTACCAGAACAAGGCCAGAAAGACATCATTTCAGAGAAGAAGGGCAGAACTCACCTGCACAAAGGAGGATGGAGACAGGGAAAAAGTACTTTTCCATCCACTTAAGAGACTTCAAAGGGCTCAGCCTGGCTTGAAGACAATACCAGGTTACCAAGAAGAGTGGCCTCTTAGTCGGAGCTAAGATCTGGAAAGGGGAGAGACCAACGTGGCTGGAAGGAGCTATTAAATGTATTATACTTTAGCCTATGGTTTCCTTAAATGTGTATTTTGTGTCCTAAAATCCTCTTGCATCATAATAAAAGTGAGTATAGACAAGTTTTGACAGTCTGTTGATTGGGTAATTCCTACACTGGTACCAACTGTGATGTGTGTGTGTGTGTGTGTTCACTTCCTTCAAAGCTGTTCAACATCTATCTTTTAAATCTTCACTGAAAACTATGAATTCTTCATCTCACCAGAGGGGAGTCTGTGGTTCTAGGTGAGGGAAGAGACACATCAATACGGTTTGTACCACCAGATAGAAACCCTGCATTGGGTATATGAAGTTGAAGCTCAAGGAAGGGTCCAGAACTAGAACACGGGGTTAGGGGTCACATGGTGGTGGCAATTAAAGCTAGGAAACTGGATGGTTCCCCAAGAGAGTTGTGAAGTAATGAAAGAAGTTCAAATACAGAACTCAAGTCAACAGCAACATTTTCTAGTGAGTGGGGAAGACAACTAAGTCACAGAGGTAAGAAGAGAGGAAGTCACAGGAGAAAGAATACAGAGGTGTTGCTACCTAGGAGAGAAGTTTTGGGAAGGGATGGTTCATAGTGTCAGAGACTGTGGCCACACTATGACCATAGTGCGGTCAGAGGCCACAATGGTCAAGCAGACCAAGGAGCCGAAAAGAAAGGCATCTCTGCTTGAAGATGCAGGACAGGTAACTCCTAGAGAAGAAATTGTGGTCACATCCCATAGAACCACCGGGAAAACTTTGCAGGAGGAGTTTACATAAAGATTTCACAAGGAAACCCCACATGGGCAAGCCTTCACTGTGGGGGAGGGGGTGGGTAGAAGGCAAGGGTAACCCACGTTATCACCCATACTAATTTCTCATTAATTTGGGGACCATGTTGGGGCTCACCATTATGAGGCTCCAGCTCCAGACTTTGGATCTGCCAGGGACCAGGCATCACCACAGCCTCAGGCCCTCCAAGTATATAGCTGGTGCTGCACACCTTCCCATCATCATCCCCATCAGGTGTGCCGATTTCCTCAGGCCGCCATAACAGAGAACCACAAACTAGGTAGCCTAGAACAACAGAAATGTAGTCTCTCTCAATTCTGGAGCCTACAAGTCCCAAATCAAGGTGTCAACAGTGCCATACTCCCTCTTCCTGCCTTCTGGTGGCTCCTGGCAATCCATGCTGTTCCCTGGCTTCCGGCCGTATCACTCCATACTCTGCCTCCGATTTCACATGGCCTTCTTCCCTGTGTCTGTGTGTCTCCTCTTATAAGGACAAAAGTCATTGGGTTAGGGTCCACTTGAACCCAGAATGACCTCATCTTAAATAATTATATCTGCAAAGACCCTATTTCCAACTAAGGTCACATTCTGAGGTTCCAAGTAGATGTGAATTTGAGAGACACTATTCAGCCCATCACACTGAATATATAAGCACCTCCCTAGGAAAACCAGGCATTGCTTAAAGAGTAGGACAGGCTGCCAAGTTATTTCTCTCCCCTCCCTCCACCTCTTCAATCTCTCTTTTCTCTCAGCAGTGTCCCCCAGAGGAGTGGACAGAGGCATTTTGTCAGCCAGGCTATCTATCTTTAACGGTTTGTCATGAGAAGTGTGCTGGCCCATTGTGCACCCAAATCGGAAGCCTGGGAACCAGAGCTCCTGAACCCACTTCTGAATGACCCAGTTACGTGGCTTACACATACCCCTCAGCCCCTGCTCATTCTCAGACTGTGCTCACGAGTTTGGCACAGAGCCCGGCTGCACTTCAGCTCCTGACCTTTGGCTCTGCCATGGATGCAAAATTTACCTCAGTGCCCTGAGATGTGTCTTCATGGGTCAGTTCTTTCCTAACAGCCATTTGGACATGGCCCAGGGTTACCACAGTCACTCATTGTCCTTTAAGGCCTCATTCACCCTGGGACCAGGATGTGCACCTCTGCTCATCTTCCTATCCACTCACCCAGGACTTTAAAACCCTGTCCTTTATACGTGGATAAATGGACCTTTTCCAGGCTGCACTGATGATACAAGTAGTATAGAGAACTACCCTTTAAAGAAGGCATACGGAGGGCATCTGGCTGGCTCAGTTGAAGGAGCTTGTGACTCTTGATCTCGGGGTTGTGAGTTCAAGCCCCATGTTGGGTGCAGCAATCACTTAAAAATAATTTTAAAGATCCTTAAAAAATAGATTAAAAAAAAGAAGGCACATGGGATGGCACGCTTCCTTTAAAATGGTCTGGCTAGGGGCACCTGGGTGGCTCAGTCGGTCGAGCGTCTGACTTCGGCTCAGGTCATGATCTCGCAATTCATGGGTTCGAGCCCCACGTTGGGTTCTGTGCTGACAGCTCAGGGCCTGGAACCTGCTTCGGATTCTGTGTCTCCCTCTCTGTGTCTGTCTCTCTGCCCCTCCCTCGCTTGTGCTCTGTCTCTCTTCTCTCTCTCTCAAAAATAAATAAAAACATTAAAAAAATAAATAAAAAATAAAATAAAATAAAACAAAACAAAACAAAATAAAATAAAATGGTCTGTCTAGTCCAGAGCTAAATGCTCTGATGGAGATCAGGACACTGTATTTGGGGGGGGGGGGGGCGGTTAATGAAGTTTTAATTTTAGAATAATTTTAGATTTATAGAAAATTTTCAAAGACGATACAGAGAGTTTCCATATACCTCAAAATTGTTTTCCCTGTGATGAACATCTTACATTAGTATGGCACATTTGTCTCAATTAATACACAATATCAATATATTATTATCAACCAAAGTCCACACTTTATTCATATTTTCTTAATTTTTAACTGTCAGTTTTCCATCGCAGGATCCCATCCTAGATACCATGTCACATTTAGTCATCATGTCTCTTTACACTTCTCCTGGCTGTGACAGCTGGGACTCTATCTTTTACGGTGGTTTCTCCACCTCAGACTCAAAGTTCATGCATCTCCACCCTACTTAGACCCCCAGAAGCCATGAATATGGGGACAAAGTTCACAGAGGCAGACATGAGTCACTCGAGGTTAACACACGGAGCTTAATCCAATCTATACTTAATCCAATCTATGTCTATTAGAGTGAAATAACTCTTAAGAGTGGTGTCAGAAACAGTACTCGAGGAGTCATGGCTTTGGAAGTTATTCTCTGTGATCTCCTTGTTTGCCACAAATAAAGTTTCATTTGTGTGACAACTCCAAAAAAAGAAAAAGAGAAAGAATGAAAGAACAATAGAATGAAAGAAAGAAGGAAGGAAAGAAAGAAAGAAAGAAAGAAAGAAAGAGAAAGAAAGAGAGAGAGAGAGAGAGAGAGAGAGAGAGAAAGAAAGAAAGAAAGAAAGAAAGAAAGAAAGAAAAAGAAAAAGAAAGAAAGAGGGAGAGAGGAAGGAAGGAAGGAAGGAAGGAAGGAAGGAAGGGAGAGAGTAAGGGAGGGTACTTGGTTTGTACAGCACAAGACTAACAGGAGACAGATCAATAATAAAGCCACATGTCTGTGAAGGAGGTGTCAGAACGTATGTTCTACTCTATAAGTGGGGACTGGAGGGAGGACGAATAGCCTGAGGGCCCAGAGCAAGGCCAGCCAGGGGAGCAGGGGACGGGAGCTGCTAGTTCACATCCCCCATGGAGATTAGGGACACAGGCAGCCCTAAGATTCTTCATCCTCCAAACAGATGAGCAAACTGCACAGTGGGCCACAGGGATGTATCAAGCTCACAGAGCCCCTCCCCTGTCCCATCAAGGCCAGAGACTCCCAAGGACACCTGTTCTCTTGAACCAGAAGTGCCTCCCATGTGGGGACACCATCAGTAGCAGGGGGCACGAACCCTATTCCATTCTGTTTCCATCAGCACATTCTCCATTTATCTCCGTAGGGATCAGAAATGCCATCTCTCTCCCTGTCTGGGGCCAGGTCAGCCTCACCCAGTGAACATTCTGCTGTTTGTAGTTGGGTAGGAGGAGAGGAAGGAGGCCCAATACATGGGAAAGAATGGGCAACCACTCTAAGGCCTGGAGAAGGAGCTGGGGGGAGGGGAGCAAACAGCCAACAGGAGGTACTTTTCTAATCTCTTCTCCGTGTCCTCTAATTATCCCTCACCCATTTTTGCCTCCTTGATCCTCCTAGCATGCTTTTAGTAACTTTATTGAGATATAATTCACATACCAAACAATTCACCCACTTAAAGTGTACAATTCAATGGTGGTTAGGGCTTTTAGCACATGCAGAAAGCTATTTGACCATCACCACTAATTCCAGAACATTTTCATCACCCCCAAATCAACCCTTTGCTCACTAGCGGTCACTTCCCTTCTTCCCTTCCTACTCCCCAGCTGCTGGCAACCACTAATCTGTTTTCTGTCTCTATGGATTTACCTGTTCTGGACATTTCATATAAAGAGAATCATCCACTATGTGGCCTTCTGTGTTTGGATTCTTCCAGTGAGCATAATGTTTTCCAGGTTCTTCCACATTGTGGCATGTATCAGCACTTCATTCCTTTTTATGGTTGAATAATATTCCATTGTATAGAGAGATCACATTTTGTTTACCCAATGACCTTTGTGTCATTTCCACTTTCTGGCTATTATAGGTGTTAATAGGCATTAGTGTAAAAGTTTTTGTATGGAAGTGTGTTTTCAATTCTCTTGGATGTGTATTTAGCTGCGCAACTGCTGGGTCCTGTGGTGACTCTATGTTTAACTTTTCAGGGTGATGCCAGTGACTATACCACTTATTTCACAAGAACAAAAAGTGAATTTCTCTGGGATTTAAGCCAGTGTTCTTTCGGGTTTTGAGATATGTACACCTAAACCTAATTGTGACTGGTACCCTTGGCCATTAAGTCTCTAGTGGGTACATATCTATGAGTAAATGAGTACATATATATGCTTTTATTGCCAGCGTGTGGCTTATCTGCCCAATAAGACTGGAAACAATTTGAGAATGGGGATCGTGTTCTTATCTTTCTCC